ACACACACAAACACATAGACATGAATGAAATGAAGATTAGAAGTAATTTTGACAATACTTAAAATAAAAGAGAAAGGACGACTTCACTTTTATGGAAAAAAGAAATAAACTAAAAAGCATACAAATGATGAAATGCATCTTGAATATGCTACAGATTTATGTATGTCATTAAGTAAGTTTTATTCATTGTCTTTATTTTATTTTAAATTCCAGTTTAAGTTTATCATTTAAGATTTTTAAAAGAAAATCTTTCAAAGTTGTCTATATTAACATAAGAGAACAATCGGTAACAATAAATGAAAGTAGATTTAAAGATGAATGAATGAATTAAAACAAAAGAAAAAAAGATTGAAACATATTTCATGAATTAAATTAAAAATGACTTTACTAGATAAGTTAACTACTTTAAAAGAAAAGAAAAAAAAGAGGAAAAGAATCATAAGTAAATGAACTAAAGAAAAGTTAATTGAACTATTTTGGGAAACATTTTTAAAGTTAATAGAGATAATTTTTTTTAAGAGAAAATTATATATTCAGTAGGGTATAAATTGTATTGAGTAAATGATCTATTTAATCATGAAATTTTCCTTAACTACCGTTATATTTTTATATTACATGATCAATATTGTCAAGTTGACTATAAGTTACACTATGAAGAAAGATTATCTAATAGATTAAATCATCCATTAAGAAGCTATTTGTATAAATAGAGATTTTTGAAAATCTACTTTTTCTTTTTTACCAATTTAAGACTCATCAGTAGTACATACATTAGAATTTTCAAGGAATCAAATTAAAGATTATAGGTTTTTGTGGTGAGTTTTAAATCGTTCGATGATTGAATTAAAATCTAACAATTTACCTTAAACTTTAATCCACTTGTGATACAGTGTAACGATTATTTATCATTAACATGGACAATTGTCTTATATCAGACATAGTTGAATACAACCAGTTATGGCTTATCAACGAAATATCCAAGATCTATCAATAAACTAGTCACCAATGAGCACGTGGACCACTTTATTTTTTTAAATATTTACAGTTTTCGTCATTTTTTTATACAGAGTAACCTTTTTATTTTGAACTCGGAGATGTTCAACTTTTCATAAGTCTATAATAACTATTATTTATTGTAATGGTTTGCTAAAAGATTCAAATGCTCTGAAATGTTTTTATAATATAAAAATGCGTCAGTTGTATCAGTCACCAATATTTTGTTTTCTAGATAAAGTTTAACCTCAAACGTTCAACTGGACTGAATTTAAATTACACGAAATAAAATTCGGTTTCTTTGATAAAGTTTTGGGTATCATCTCATATCTGTTGATTTTGTTTAACCTATACACCTTTACCAATTATTCTTACAGAGTAAGTACTAAATTATATGAACTATAACATAATTCAATTGGCTCATGATATCAACTATTGAAATTATCATAATATCCACAAACACCCTTTCTGATACTAATCAGCATATGCTCACTAGTGACTGGCTTCAAAAGGTATTTCCTGGAGTTCTAGTGAGAAGCAGTGACCAATGGAGTTCAACCAGGTCTATTGTGAGATAGTAACTCACTGAAGATGTAGTGTCGTTTATTATGTTAAGCCCATATACCTTATTGTGGCTTTCGGACAGGTCAGTCTATTCATTCTAGTTGAGTCATATTCTGACCTTGTTAATTATTCGCTTATCATCAACCGTGAGTGTTTTTATATGAGCGTAGTTGTGTGTGCATTTCTTATCCTATTCTTTCCATGTCTGTAACTTATTTTTGTGTGCCTATAAATATTGATTAACGCTTGACTAAAAGAGAGTTGGCTTAACCGCCATGTCCGCCGCGCGTCGTTTCGCTTCTCTATATTCTATTCGCTTCATATTGAATATATATTCAAAAGTGCATTCTCGTTATTTGACTGATATAATTCCGTTATTGACTAACGCGATTTAAGTCGATTATATACGACGATAGGTAACATATTTATTCCATTCCATTCATACGATCTAATTGATATGAAATGAAGGGTCCTACAAAAGACAATGGTGGATGTGTCACCCAATTTCGTGGATTGGTTGAAGTTAGACATTAACACAGTTGGATACCGGCTCAGTGGTCTAGCGGTTAAGCGTTTGCGCGTGAGACCGATAGATCCTAAATTCGAGTCTCGCGGGGCGTGACCATAGTCGGGCACTGCTGAGGAGTCCCACAATAGGACGAAACGGCCGTCCAGTGCTTCCAGGTTTTCTATGGTGGTCTAGCTCTAATTGACTCATGATCTCAACTATTGAAAATATAACGTAAATATCTTCTGTTAATCTACGTTCATCGAATAAGCCGTACTGTTGAGTAAAAATGCTTTTATTGACAATTTAACAAATTTGGAAGACTTATAGCTAACGTATGAGTAAATGTTATAACTGACTGAATAAGTAGCAATACGTTTAAAGTAAGATTAACTAATAAGATAACGTACAAGGAAAAATAAACGAAAAATAATGAGTATTCTACACTGCTTTCTTCAAATTACTTCGAAGCCTGATAAATTACATAATCATAAACCATTTTCAATTACATCTGCTGTAAGATAATTTCTTATTTATGTATAAAAAGAAAATATATAATTTTAATTGAGTGTATATCTTATTATTAAGAATAAACCATCTGTAGAAAGTATTTTAATTGGCTACAATAAATGAAATGATTGCATTTTTATACTGTATTTATTTTATTCATGTGATTTATATGTACCCTAATAACAGAATGATTCTACTAATAAGAATTCATACCTTAAATAACAATTTGTCTGTTAAAAATAAAGTTCTGTTATGTAACAAAACTTTTAATGGGCATGTAAAACCACAACATACCATTAGATGTAAAGAATAAATTTAAAAAAAACTCGTTAAACTAAAAAAACAAAATGACAAAATCTATAATATCTTCAATATAAAACATTATGGCTCATAAACGTCAAACAGTATGATATACTACATTTGAACTTACCTATACGGAAGGAGTTACAGTTATGAAATTTTTGATGCATATGAACAAGTCGAATATTCAGATAACTTTAAAGTAGCAATGTAGTGAACAAAACACGGGTAGGGACAATCAAGTTATATTAAGCATGAAATTACAGAGTTACTTGGTAAAATAGAAAAACCATACTCTAATACTTAATTTGCAAAATGTTCAATAATTGTCTCGAACTTCATTGTTCTTGCATATCCATACTAATTGCTTTTTATTCCCGCTTTTTCTTTCTTGATCTTCCCCATCTTCTGCCGCCAGACATTACATTCCTGACTCGCGTCATATACTACTTATACCAATGTAAGTAGCACGCACCACAGCAAAAACAAACAATATGAAATTGTTATTTTTATTGAGATCATAAACTGATTGATATTAGACCACTTATAAAAACCTAAAAGCACTGGACGGACGTTTTGTCTTAGTATTGGACTTCTTCAAGATCCTGTGCGCGAATTCAGTAACCAGTGCAACTAATAAGTTCCCAAGTGAATTTAATACAAAGTGAATGGTCGTTGTTCTTACCAACCAGTTAATTAATAAAACTCAAAAACTTTCTTCCTGAGTAATATTCATCAATGAATCAAGTGTTAACAATTCAAAATATCAAACTGAAGCTCAAATTCATCTGTTATGGTACTTCAGGATTTCATTATAGTGATCAACCACTTGAAGTAGATTCGTAAAAGTATTATATGCCTTGAATCAACTACATTGTTGTTTATGACCTATAAGGAACAATATAATCTTCTTCATTATTATATTTTAAATTATCTGATATTTATGGAACCAATGAGAGACAAAAGAAGAACGAGTTGTGTTCTGTAACAAAAATTTAAGCATCAATCAAGATTTGTCATACATTTTATATGATCCACGTCAGTTCTAATGGTAAGAACGGAAGTTAATAAGAATATTTATTTTCAAGGACGTTATACTTTTTGAGACTTTTGCTTTTCACATAATCCTACATTATTTCACATTGTTAGGACGGGAAGTAAATTGACTAGTAATGTTATCATATAAGAAACTCAGACTATTTTAATTGACCTTCATAGAAGTAGTAACTTATTCATTCCGTTAGTTGATTAGTAGTTATTTTCTGGACTTTAGTGAAGATCGGTCTCCTGAGTAGATTGTAAGTTTGCTTATCTTAGACGTTTCAGAGTTTTGCCGAACCAGTTGTAGATTCAGAACTCAATGAGACAGATTGTCTAAAGAAATACCTGCGGCTGTTTGAATAACGGAAAAGGTGACTGTAATTTATGAACAACCTTTGAGCGACGCAAGTGACCTTGAGAATGTTCACCTACTCACCAGGGCTAAATGAAGATTACAAGCCAGTGTGAGGATATGAGATCATGATTTAAAGTTGATGAATAGGGTTAGGAGTTCGATTTAAAGTTTTCATCACGAACTAACATAAGCTAAAATGCCAAAATGCTATTTAGCCAAATGAATAAATGAATTTCGCGCCAAAATCTAAAACCTGTTATCTTATATTTGACTGATTCGTTCATAAATTATGGTCTCACCGAATAAACTCATAATTTACCTTGTCTATATTCGCACTTACTAACAATGGTAATAAAATTCTTAAAGTATATATAAATATTTGCTTAATTTCAGCATATTGATAGACTAACTATTCGTGAAAAAGTACCGATCATTCCAATATATTGTTAAATTTTCTTAACAATGTGGATAGTAACTCTACTTTGGCAGTGATCATGTGAAAGAATATTAATGAACACAAATCTAAACTTTCTATTTTTTTTATTTTCTATTAATTAAATTTATAAAACACTTACTGTAAGGTGTAATCAATAAACGAACTCACCTATGATAAAGTGAAACACCCACCACCACATTAACTTTCTTTGACCTTGTATGACTATGTCTTGTTTATTCACCAATCACAATTTTATGTTCACTATAAAACAATATTTGCTTTGTTGACTCATTTTTCCTATTCTCTAGCTACTGTTCAGTATGTTATTTATGTCTCTGTTTTTCCCTGTATTGATACACTGTATTATTTATTTTGTATACTAACGGTGTTAATTTGTGTTTTGGAAACAGATAAAGTTTATCAAGCCAAATAGCTTACTTATTCTGACTTTGGCTAAATCAAGACTCTGTGTTCGACGGTCTACAGAGAGAATAGCTTAGAGTTAAACCTGTAAGAAATTGCTTCCTACACTTACTACTTATCAATTATTACCATTATTGATCGAATTATTTGTTTTATTTTATTTTTTTTAATACTTAATGACTGTGTTGTTTTTATATTTCGTGAAAAGAAACAATTCTGTCACAAAACATTTTGCTTTTATTATACATGTACTTCCTTACCATTTCTCAAGTCTTTTGTGTTTCATCACTGTAATGTTTATTATTAATTAAATGATTAAACAAAAGCAATTTATTTGTAAATTAATAATAACAATATAATAAATGGTAATAATGAATTATGATTTTTATCTCGATTTTATTTTAGAAAGAAACCTTGCTGAAATACAGAAAGAAGAAAGATAAATTGAGATCATCATAGGTGAAGTAATATATGCATGTATTTGATTTGGTTCTTTACCTAGAAACCCTATCGATTTTTTGTTATTATTCACATTCATTCACCAATCTTCAGTAATTGTTATGTAATATACAAAAAAAAAACATTAAGAGCATAAAGACAAGAGAAAAAGTATTTAATTAAAAAGAGAATTTAAAATGCTAAATAGACAGTAAATGTTTTGTTGTCAGTGTGAATAAATATATATTATAAAGAGATGAAAAGAAACTGTAAACAAAATCATAGAAGAATATAATATGGTTATGATGTAAGAAAGATTATTTATAATATAAGAGATGATGAGAAATACAATAATAAGGCGATAACAAAAGTCATCGAAAAGAAAAAGATGGAAACAGTTAAGAAGAAAATAAAAATATGAATATTTCTTCAATGAATGATAATTAATTTAAAATTTATTCCTATAAAAAACAATGTGGTTTTGTTTCTGTTTTATTGTTTTTAGTAAGTAAGCTATTGAAGAAATAGAGAATACAGTAGATAAATGAAGATATGGTATAAAATAGAAGCAACACAAACGTTTTATTATATGTGATGACAAATAAAACTGAACTCTTTACCTAAACAAAAAACAAACAAACAAACAAAATGTGGTCAGAATGAAGAAAACAGAGAGATGCATTGTATAATGCATACAGAAGGAAAGCATGTCTATTTGTAGATAATTAAAATGCATATTTCTGACAATGATACAGTATTGACAATGAAAAAAAGAGCTGTAATATGATATGCACTATTAACATTATTATTATTATTAGTAGTAGTATTGGCATCAATTTTATAGCATGAAATGTACAATTTGTAGGAAAAAAAATTGGACACCATTTATTATTGGTATATTCACAGATGAATTAAGTCTATTGAATACAGATGTCAAGCATCATAATGAAAGTGAAAATAATATGGATCCTTTGAAAATAAGTAAACCGGGGTAAATAAATGACTTATGAATGAATTAATTTTATTATTACTCACAAAATTTGTAAGTAAATAATAGATGAAGGAAAAAAAATTATTCAAGGAGTTGAAATAACAAAAATATTCAATTGAGAGTAATTATGATCATTAGTAGTATTATCCTGTAAATGTAAACAGAGAAGGAAAGATAAAGTATACGTCAGTATATATACCCATAATTATTTGGATATTTTATATGTACACTTTGATAATGATGTATAACATAATTCAGTTAGTCAATACAATTAATAAAAAAGAAGAATTAGAAGAACAATAGTGAAGGTACTGTAGAACAAGTCAGTATTAGTTGTATTTAAAGTCTATTATACATTGACCATTACTATTAGTTTGTTTTGATATTGTAAAATTACATACCATTTTAAAACGTAATAAAATGAGAACATTGAATTAAGAGAATAGAGTTAAAAATAGAGAAAAATAAAATAAATGATTGACACTAAATATTATTTTTTAGAAAAAGAAATTAAAATAAAAAGAAAAAGAGAAAAAAATTTTAATGATTTTTATTAACATATGAATTAAAGAAAAAAAGAAAACAAAATGAAAAGAAAAGAGACACATCGACTTTTATTCTATTTTTTTTTACAACTAGCAACTTATACTACTAATATTAATAATGAAGATGATAATGAAAACAATGGAGATGAGAATAAATGAAGAAAAGAGTCTAAGATATTGTATTTCAATTTGTAAACAGTATATATAATGAATAGTAACTAAGCAAATGTATTTTAATCAACCTAAATACATGTAATTATGAAAGATGAATTAATTGTGCTTTATTTGAATTGAGTAATTTAGTCCAAATTAAAATTCTTTAGTATTTTATTATGATACACTTTGAATAATGCAACTATGATAATGAATAATATAGTAACTATTATTTTATTGACATGAAATAAATAACAATCTGGCCGGTGGGGGTGGTTTGAATATTCAAAAATGAATAGAACTAACTCGAAAGAATGTAAATAAATAAATAAGTGAAAAGAGGCTGAAACGTTTTAGAAAATTGTCTATATTATTTGTGGTTACAAAATGATTAATTAGTTTCTTCTATTATTTTTTTCATTATCATCTTCATACTGTTGAATTTACTTTAATAGTAATTTTTAAAATTGATTTTGATATAGATAAATGAACACAAAAAAGAAACTATAAGAGAGAAAAAATTAAAGGAAAAAAAGTGTAAATGAAATTATGATGCAGCAAGATCACGTATAATAATTGCAATTTCACTGAATGTAGGTCGATGTTGTGGTGTTGGAGACCAACAACGATTTAATAAATTACCTAATTCACTTGGTATATCAGCAACTAAATCCGGTTTCAATGGTGATGAATCGGTAGTGTTAAGTTTTGATTTAGTAAAACCACTAGTGTTATTTAGTAGCATAGCTGTTCGTTGACCAGCAACAATAATTTCTTGATCAGACAATCTAGCTAAAGGAAGTGCTGCTAATGAAAAGACTTCACAAACTAATATACCGAATGCCCAAACATCGGATTGTGTAGAATAGGGTATAGCTGGATTAGCTAATTGTTTCAACGATTTATTTTCATGTCCATTACATAATGATACATGTCGTGCAGTTGTATTCATTGTTGTATTAGTTGTTATTTCATGAATAAGTTCTGGTGCAAACCATCTTAATGGTATGAATTGTTCTGTATTAGGTAAACGATAATATTCATTTGCATAAACATCTCTAGCCAAGCCAAGACTTGATATTTTCACTTCTAAACCTTGAGTTAAGAGTACATTTCTAGCTGCTAAATCACGATGAACACAATGCATATGAGCTAAATAATCCATACCAAGAGCTAACTGCTTGCATATACTCATCTTTTGTGTACAAGTTAAAGGTGGCATTTTAAGTGGTGCTGAATTCTCTTCACGCATACAACGTAAAAATTGTTTTAGATCACCCTAAAAAATAACGGGGGAAACATATAAAATGATATAAATCATAAGAGAATAATCGGAAATTAGTTGATTAATTCATTTATTGATAGTAACCACATATGATAGAACTGTTTTAGTAACTATGAAATAGAAATTCATACAAACTGGGATTAATTTCTACATGACAGGTAATGCAAGGAATGAATCAAAAATGGATTTGTGAAAAACCATTTAGATAATTCACTTGGTATTGTTTGCTTGAATCTTCCCATTGAGGTTTAAAATTGCAATTGATCAGTCTATTATTGGTACATGTGCATATTGTGCGTAATGCCTCGATATTGCCTTAATCTATATTTGCTTATAAAGCTTCTGAATTAAGGCAATATCAAGGCAATACGCACAGTATGCACATATGCCGATAACAAAATGATCGACTACAGTCTTAAACGTCAGTGGGAAGATTCAAGCAAACGTTACGGAGCGAATTTAAATTCACCCCATTGAACAAGCAAGTAGCCATCAGGACTCAGTAGCTGAGTGGATAAGGCCATGGCTTTCGAAGCGAATGGTACTGGGTTCGAGTCTCTGAGTGAACATCAACTCTGAGATGCAGGTACACCCAGCTGACGAGTCCCAAATAGGACAAAACGCGCGTCCTAGTTTCCACTGTTATCCATTTAGATAAATGTTTATTTAAAAGAAACAACAGTTAATATGGTTTTATTTTTTCTAAGTATTAAGAACTACGGTCTTATAGCATTTGATCCAATCAGAAAAACTATACTTCATTTAAGTTGAGCAGAAAGAAACAGAAACGTTATTTCTAAATTAAATGTACAATGCGAACTACGACGTCATTTATTATCGGTTGGCTTTTTTTTAAATGATCATCATTTATCGTCAAGATTCTACTAAATTAAAGCTTAGATATAATGTGCAAGCAACCAGATACGCTTACTGAATTCTAACAAACGTCTAAACTATCATTTTTATTTGGCTGTTAGTACGAATGGGAAATTATTCACCTGTATGACGATCCATTTCACATGATTAGTTAAAAAGACAACGCACTAATATAATTAAGATAATTAAATACTCAGATTATTTCCACAGTTAGCATAACTAGTATAAAATCTAGTTCCAATGAATAGTTTTTGCTCTACTGACTAATTAAAAAGTAGTAACTAACGTCATTTTTATTTGGTCTTTAGTACTGATCGAACTATGGATAAAATTATGATAGATGCACTAGTCTTGAGGAGTGGACACTCAATGCACTATGTTCTAATGGTTAGAGCCCATCAGCAGGAAGCCCTGTACTTGAGTATTCCGCTTGTTAGTAAATATCACTAAAAAGTATCTGTAAAATTGGGGGAACGTAATCTTTTCGTGCTATTCCGACCCATCTTATCAAGTATTACAAGACGTTACCACTGAAAAAATTAAGATCCAATTGACCTCTTATAGAACTGATATTTTTACACTGATTGGTCACTCGGTAGGAACTAATATCACATTTTAACAAAGTACCTGACATGTGGTAGTGTGTGCAAATTATACGTGTACATTACTAGGGATTTCGAAACTACGACTTCTTTAGTGTACATTGGTCTTTCAAATGGTATCATTTCATAATGAAAAACATCTTCAGAGGTTACAATTTATCGATTTTCTTAATAAATCTACTTTTTCGTTAAACCAGTTATTTTTTAGTCCTATATAATTTTCATTGGTCCAATTAATCATGAATTGAAGTGTTTCAAATTATTCAAACTTAGTTGAAATATACCCAAAGATTCAAGTGAATAAAATGATAACGAATCTATACTTACCCATTCACAATATTCTAACAAAATATAGAATGGTTCTTGTTCCATGCATACCCCTAATAAACGTGTAACATAATCATGATCAGACTGACCAAACAATTCTAATTGACGATGAAACTCATTAATATGTACTGAATCACATGAAGTCAATGATTTGACTAATACTAAGGATTGAGCTTCACCTTCTTGTATATGACGAGCACGAGCCAAGAATACGTCACCGAATTCACCTTTCCCTGTAAAACAACAGAGCCATTTTACTATATATGATATATGACTGATATTTTTCTAATAAGCATTTGAAACAAATGAAGATATTTCAAATATTCTGAAAACAAGTTAAAACCTTATTACAATTGTGAACTTATGAATATTGTTTTGTCCCTGATAAATATCATTAGTGATAAAATGTTGAACCATTTTGGTCTACAATCAGTTTTTTAGGAGTTAATTGAAACTATATAGTTGAATATATTATGTTTGTTAAGTGGGATGCTTTATCAAAAATATTTATTTGATTATCCTGATGCATTAGGAATTAAATGGAAGGTTTCATACATCCAATATTATACATCAGCTTTGACCAAAGTATTTAGAAAAATAGTCACAATTGATTGATCACTGGGTGGTGAACAATGTCATGTGTGTCAAGTCCTTCTTAGAGAAGATCGAATACTATAGACCAAGTTGCAATGTGGCTACTAGTCTAGGTGACTCGACACTGCATGCACCATTTTAAGATAAGATGGTGGTTGGAGGTAGCCAACAGGAAAGCCTGGACCCGAGTTTCGTGCTACATAATACTCGTCAGCAAGGTGTACCTGTAGTCTTGAGGGGAGTGGTCCTATCGGACGCATTCGACCCCGTGTCACCTAGCTTCACAGTCAGAGACGTTACCATTCGATCTGCATCAAGAAGGACTTGACACACACGACATTGATCACCACTCAATAATCAATCAATTGTAATCACATCTCAGTTCTACAGGGGGTCGGTCGCGGCCGGGGTAGCTCAGTGGGAGCGTCTCCGACTGTGAAAATGGGTGACGCGGGATCGAATCCGTCGGGGGACACCGGTTCCCTCAGGATTACAGGTACACCTTGCTGTCGAGTACCAAGTAGCACGAAACTCGGGTCTTATTTCTGGTTTTAAAAATGTAGTGATATTAACTTGAGAGTTATTCATAATGAGGCATGATAAATACCTGATTCCCACTAGTTTGGAACTTTTCAGCATTAAGGAATCATGAACTTGACGCTAAAATGAATCAGAGCTCTCATTTTATACAGAAAGCAAGATTTTGTGCAACAAATGAATTTCAGCTCAATGATTCAACTAATTTATTGAGCTAATAAACACAGCTATACCTTACTGTGAAAATAAACTTTATTTCTAAAGCCGTAAAATACAAGTCACCTCGACTGTGGACACTCATGATTGCGTAGAGCTATGCTCGAATCAATCAGTATATATAATCATTTATTTTTTATTTTCAAGGTTGTACAATTGTATATATATATATGATAAGTCATATGTCAATAAGTAATTGTAGGTTTGTTAGAATTCGGTTAGTTGTAATGTGGAATTCGACTTCATAATTTCTAGCAAACAAATAGTTGTTAAAGAAAATACATGAAGCATGAGAAACACATAATTATCATACTGAACAGCGACCAGCTATCATTCGGTTATAATAAAGATGTGTTAGTGACAAGGTGGATAGGAAATACATTGAGAAAAGCACTTAACTGCGTCATGAGGCAAGCCCTCACTTGGAACCCTCAATGCCAAAGAAGAAGAGGAAGATCAAAATGCACACTGAACCGAGAAATGGACAGACATGAGACTAATGAACAACAATTGGATAGAGCTAGAAGGGGAGGCCCAGGACAGAGTGGGTTAGAGAATGCTGGTCGTCGTGGCAATCAAGAATTCTGTTTAAAAACCATTTTAATAATAATGGTGTAAGATGTAAGCATTTTAGCAAATTTAGTGAAATATGAACGCGAGAAGAATAAATAAGAGAGACCTATGAGCCTAAGAAATTGTTTTTTGCAAACACAACTCAAGTTTTAAATTGTGTATGGCTAAAACTTCCCGAATATAATGCGTGTTCATCGGTACACCTGTTCGCATCTTTGACTACATTATGTGAAAAGATGAGCCTGAAACTGATAATTTCTTGAACTAACTAATATATTACAAAATAGAAGTCGTAATGAGTACTCGTTGGCCAATGCCATATAAATACAGTATAACAGCGGCTTGCTGGTTTAAGCACAAATGTCAGTCTATAGGTATCATGTTCATATTTTACTTGACCTACACCGGTTCAGGAAGTCAGGTAATATCGGTAGTTCTCATACAGAAATTCAGCCCAAAATATATGAACAGGTCTTTCATTAAAGAGTTGGATTACATTAAAATAATTTAATAATATGCGCAATTTACAGTTCAAGACAAAGGAGGACTACTTTATTTTGCATCTCTTCATTCAACTTCAAAATACTAATGAAAATCAAATTGATTTAAAATCATTATGAAACAGAAAACATTTCAATAAATTTCTTTACATTATAATTAATAATAAATAAATAAAATCATAAACAAACCTAGTATTCCTTCCATTTGTAGTTCACAACGTGGATAATTCATACGATCTGTTTGACTAATAGTGTGTAATGCATTTGACTGATCATATTGATTCAAGCTATTGACATGTGAAGCCATTTGATTGGGAGGTGATCCGAAATTAGAAGCACCACTTAAAAGGGAACGAGAGTACAAGCTAGTTGAATTACCAGAAGATACTCCACTAAAATGTGATCGTGAATCAAGCGGAGTTGGTGGTGGTGCAGAGACAAGATGTGATTCAGATGTAGTTGTAGCAATTGTACTGCTAGCCACACCCGTGCTAGTGCCTTTGTGCGCCGAAAACATAAGATTACATGACGGACTCATCATAGAGTGTCCATGTACATATGAGTGACCGTTAAGATCTCCAATATCTGTCAAAGGATTAGCAAATCCGTCTATTGGTCCGGCGGCACCGGCCGACTGTAGTAGTTTGGCCTGAGCATCGTTTTGTCCATAATATGCATTGTCACTTATAGGCCACCAGCATTTCGTATCATTTACTGAAATGTTTGGCCTTTGATTTGACCCAGGTTCTGTGCACATTAAAGGATGTGGTAAAGTACCACTATCAGGATAACTTGTTCCACTTCGTGTGCCAGATGCACTAGTCAACACGGGGCGACCATAATGAGGTAGTTGACTAAGAGATGCATTTGCAGTTGTATTTATCCCCGATGTGCAACCGCCTCCTAATAATAAACCACATTCCATATTACCAGTTCCAGCGCCACCCCCGCCGCTTCCTTGCGATCCTCTTTTGCCACCATTCGGATTACTAGGATCATTCAAAGGATTGAGTAATTGACCATTTTCATGTAACTTGCCACCTAATTACAAAGAAACGAAAATCAGATTTTACTGACTTTTCCTAATGAACTGTAACAATCTTAAAGCAAATAAATATATGTAAGTGTATACTACTCTTCAAATACATAATGTCATTTTAAAAAAAATATTAAATTCAAAACAACTTTTGAAATCATACATAAATTGCTGATGAAAGTAATAGTCCATAAACGACTGCTTCTGTTGGTTCGAGTATTTAGATAGAGGAAAAAAGTGTTCCGAATCGGATGAGGGTAAGTTAATTATATCAATGTTGCCTATGAATACTAAAGGGTTCAGTGTCACTTCTTCATATGCTGGTGGATTCGACAAGACAAACTTCATTGGTTGAAGAATAAATAATTAAGTTAATTTCTTTGGTTTTCAAATCTAAATTTTATGGTCTATATCATGGACTAACGTTTGGTAAAGAACATTTGAAAACTAGAAGGCATTGAACAGATATTTAGTCTTAGTATAGGACTCCTTTCTTGTCTCGAATAGTTGTTTAATTGAAATCAGTTTGTGAGGTATACAATAAAATTCAACAATCTCCACAATTTCACTTCCTATAGTAACCAAATATATATTTCTAGAAGAGTTTTAAAACTGACCTCTTCTTTTTATGATTAATCCTATAAGTAAAATACTTAATTGTTGATCTCGTTTTTTTGTCTAACTAATATTGAATCCAGCTATGTTACTACATAATGATTCATAATCGTAATTAAAATTTTAATACAATAAACATGAGACAGGCTTTTCATAATGTATAAAATAAAAATCGTAACACTGTCTAATTCCTTAGAGAAATCAAAACTATTTATCTTGTTTAACCTGTTACTTTTTTTAAATAGGAAAAACAAACAAACAAACTATTAGACGGAAATGTTCTTGTATATTCCTTCATGTTGGTTTACATTTTATCAAGATAATCAAAAAATGTAGAACAAAGACAAGATTCTTATGAACTGACTTGTTTGTTTAAGATTTAGTAAATTTACCAAGTAACAAAACATCAAGATGGGGGTATATATATATATATATATATATATATATATATTTACTGAAAAACGTGGTGCATTTATGATTATGAGTATTTTATGTACTTGAATCTAAGGTATTTATGTTTTATGTATCATTGTTACCCACCACCCTGTGAATATAATCCTTAATAATGTTATATTTATTTATATTATTACATGAAGAGAAGAAGAGAGTCGAGTAATAATTGACCAAAACAACAGAAATCCATACAAACACTAATCATGTATCATAATAAATCTTTAGTTTTTATTGCCAGTTAAAACAAGTGATTGTGTTTTGATTAATGACATTTTTTTCTCTCCATTTGTTAAATGATTTATTAATAAAAACTGAATGAATGTTTTTCTTCTTTCTTTATGAATAAATAAGACAGTCTAAACATTTAAGAGGTAAATATATACTATGCTAAATTTGTTTTCTTTCTGTTTATATATGCACTTTCAAATTCTTATTATTTGATACACTTTTCATTACCCATAACTTGCCTGATTATTTTGATGTTTCGGTCTTCTTGAGAAAACTAAGAAATCTCATTAATCACTGAAAAAAAATTAGGGGGGGGGGAAGAAATATGAATTTCTTTTTTGATTCCGTTTTCGTCAGGTCAAACCAGACATTTTTCTCATTCTTTATAAAAAAATATGAAACTTATGAAATTGAAGTATATATATATATATCTTGTGCAATGAAAGTACGAAAGCAGCTTCTTAAGTTAGCAATAACAACGAAACAAACAAACAAAGCCCAAATACATTTAGAATTGATCAAAACATAAATTCTTAACTGTAATGTGATAGAAACATGAAAAAATCAACATTCGAATCTTGCTTGTGGAAGACAGAGTAGTGGTAGTAGTAATATCCAATTATGCTGACGTATATTGTAATAAATGTAAATAAGTGGGTGAGTAGATGGAATGACAGGAGTGAATCATCTTCCTTTTCATCAACAATAATAATAATAATAACAAAATACAGAATATCACATCAAAGAAATGATTAATGAGTTAATTCTCAACTTATAGACTTACCACTTTTACGTGATCGGTTACGTCGAGTACGTACCATACGAACACTACAGAATGTTGTTAATCCAATAATTAAGCCTAAATAGGCAACAGCACATCCAACTACTATAAAAATAGTTTTCATCATACCAGTACTTGTACCATCTTCACCAAGTTGTTGTCGAGTATATTCTTCCGGAGCTGAATAATGTTACGAATACATATGCACAAAAAATACGAACAAACAAATAAATATTAAAATGTCAGTAAGTAAACAATAGAAGTAAAGAGTAATCGGAATAAAAACAGTACAGATGCATGGCTCTTAGAAATGCATATACCTATATATATAGTTACACTGTTAATCTGTGCAGTTATATATAGATTACTGTAAGCTTATACATGAATTCATTTTTGTAAACAAATGTTTTCTAACAAACAGTGAATAATTTATTAGTTTTTTTTAAAAAAATATGCCCCAATAGTTGGGGAGGAATGAAAATATTATTTAATGTGCTTTAATCTTTCAATCTATAATATGCTTCGTATTTCAACGGTTAATAGGTATGTAATACAGGAAATATGTTTATTACTCTATAGATGAATCATATGTTCTGTGATATCTCATTGTTGATAAGTGAATAATATTTAAAATGAGTTAGATATTTAGTGCTATAGGTGACCAGTTTTTTCAGTCGTACACTCAAGTTTGTTGTCGCTTAAGCGTTAAAATGTTGGAAACAATTTTAAAATTTCCTTCGTATATCCATACAGTTATCTTATTCGTAGTGTTCCTTTTCGTTTGCAGTTTTTTCTAATTTAAAGGGAAGTAAACAATGTACTTGATTGAATTGAATAAGAGTAAAAGTCCATAGTGAAGTTTAGGCAAAACTTAAATAAAAAGAAGTATGACGATATATCGGATTCCAAAAATGTTCAAACAAACAAGTTACAGAAAGTATTCATTGATCTGTATATATTATCAGTTGTCGGGAGACGTACCGAAATAGTAAATAAACCTTGAAAGATCATTCTCTCGAATGTTACTGGTTAAATTAAAGCTTATGGTGAACTTATCGCAGTTGATAACATCAGGTTGAGTTTATCAAGGCTGTCTATTTTCGTCATTCTTATTTGCCTTCGCTAAAGAGATTTCTTTAGAGAAGTTTGTGCTGATGATATCGTTCACAATAACGATGAAAGCTCCACCAACAAACCATACAGCTCAGAGAACAAACATCCACCATTATCATCCACCTGAGCTACAAATCTTCTTGATTATCTCATGAAAAATGTTGCTCACAATAAAAGTGAGAATTTAAAGTAAACTGATAGTTTCTGCATTTATGAAAAAGTAGCTTAAGATAAATACTCACTGAGGACTCTGACAAATACTCCTTGACGAGTTTTGATAGCATGTTTATTGCCAGCAACGCATATATACTCAGCTTGATCTGATAAATGCACTTGTTTAATAATTAAACTACCATTTGGAAACGCTGTTATACGTCCTCCATTTGCTTGCATATTTCTTGAAATTGCAGCTACAACAGCATCCGCGCTAGATGCACTGTTTAAATTATGTTCAATCGAAGCTGATGAACTTGAACTAGACGGTGGTGGTTGCAAAAATTGTTGTTCTTGTAAATGATTATCAGCTGATCGACTTGAATCAGATAAATCAGTAGATTGGGGAATTAGTAATTCACTATCAACTAATGGAGTATAAACACTTGGAATTTTATAACCGGGTTTTTTAACTATCCAACTAATTTGCGGATGTGGATCACCTGATGCATGACAATTAAGTATAACTTGATTACCAACGCGAATTGTTTGGTTTGCACTGATCTGTGATATTTGAGGTTTTTCTATGTAGAATAAAAGGATGAATAGTAAATTGTTATGAAAGATTCGCTAAAACGAAGAGAAAAACCTTCACTATTTAGAACTATCAATGTGTGACATTACAAAAAAACAGACATGCTATTGAATTACTAAAAAAACTACGACTCCTGTTTAGCAAGCTCTAACGGACTAGTTTACCACTGCATATTCGGAAAAATAAAAAATTAGCAAAATTCATTTTCGCTAAAGTGTCATCTTAGAGCAAATAAATTACAGTATGATGTTGAGCACAGTTATATAGAATTCCATTACATTAAAGGAGTAGACAATTTGATCTTATCCCTACTTTTGGCAATGCTTTTTGACTGGAAATCTGGGTGGGATGGGTTTGAATCCTATGGAAGACAAGTGAACCTTGTTGGACAATATTAAATTGAACGAAATCAGGGCTCTATGTTGATTTTCTGTAACTAACCAATATTAAGCTTAATGATTTGGTGAAAATTGTTTACTTTATAGAGTTGACTGACTTGAAATAAGTTTTATGACGAGCTGATCAACTGCTGTGAACTGTCTGCTTTTAGTGTGGAACTCATGGACAGTATAAACTTTCACAAGTGAATGGTAAAGAACTAAGTACTTTGAAGGATTTAACACTTAGTGGTCTATTTAAACATTTTGTGCTGCTTATAAACTAAGAAAAATTAAAACTAACCGTCCTTGTTTAGATTTATTTGAACTGAATAATCATGCCTCCTAATTGTGTATACTCACAAGCTATTATAAGAGATTTAAATGTTATTAGAATGCTAAGTAATGGAAATCTTAAACGGAAATACTACAGTTGTTGATAATATTTTCCACCTTGTCTATTCATGGGAAAAACGATAGACAAGTACAGTAGATCAATTGCAGCTTACATATGATGAATGAGAAAAAAAATTGTAACAGTTCAATTCGTATGAAATTATCATGATTACAGATGAATGATTATTAATAACAATCCTAAAAGACAATTCTGAAGAATAAAACTTCGAGTGCATGTTAAGCATATTGAAATGTTGCACATTTAGTACTACTTTAAAAAGTTTATGGTATCGAATAAAGCTATTTCGATAAGACTATAATTTATAGATAACCTATGAGCGACGCTAAAGTAACCTTGAGAATGTTTACCTCCTCACTAAGGTTAAATGAACGTTACAAATCAGTGTAAGGAATTAAGATCATGATTTACAGTTGATGAATAGGGTTAGGAGTTAGATTTAAATTTTTCAACACGAACTGACACCATCTAAAATTCCAAAACTCTAGCCAAATGGATAAATGAATTTCGCGCAAAAACCCATGATCTAACATCTTACATCTGATTGGTTCATCCATATATTACAGTCTGGCCGCTATTACTATTTATTTTCATAATTATTATTTGGCATATTCTATCTGTAAACAATCTGAATATTTCGGGGTTATTTACACATTTTGATATATATTGATCAGTCAATTAAAATGTTTGTTTCCTTTCAGAGTAAACGGTAATAAACTGCAAAGTTATGTTGAGCATAAAATAAATTAATTTTATGGTAAGTGTAATTTTTCAGTGTTTATATATAGATGTAAATTAATTCTATAAGAGAACAACGGATTTCAGTGAATACATTAATGATTCACAGTAATAGAATGAAAACTTCATTATATTATATGGTTTTCTTAATTTTATTTTCTAAAGAAACATTTTCAAAACTCGGGAAAACTATATACTAATTTAAAATAATGTTTGAGATAGGTAAAGTTAGTAGGCAAAATAAAAGTTTTAAATATATTTACGGAAATATTTTCAGAGAGGGGTTTTGTGAATATTATGTTATATGTTGGCTCAGTGGTCTAGAGATTAAGCGTTAGTACGCGAGACCCATAGGTCCTGGGTTCAAATCTCGCAAGCCGGGATAGTGAATACACACTGCTGAGGATTCGTACAAAAGGACCAAACGGCTGTCCAGTGGTTCCAGGTTTTCCATGATGATCTAGCTTCAATTAACTCATGAATTTTAGTAATAATTTTGCTGAAATATGTTTGAACTACTCACTAGTAGTACGTTTTATGACAAAACCATCAGTTTTTTTCAAAAGGAAACAGTACAGCATTATTCAGAACAACAAATAGGTATATCGAAAATGATTTGAGTAGACATTTTGTTATAGTATGAATACTGCTCATTCAAGTTAATTATAACTGAATTTATAGTGAATATGAAACAAATATAAGTATCACAGCATGTGTATATATTCTACTTTACATTAACTTTAAGAGCTGAACCTCAGATCAGGCGTTTATGTAACTGTATTATAACAGAAAACAATTTAAGCTTGAATGATTTTCAGTGAGTGATTGAGTTATATAATGGACAAGTAATATAAAGACATTTGTATTGTTTGTTTATTTTTTTCATCATTTGTTGTTTAGAATAAATCACAGTTGTTAGAAAACAGAAACATAGTTAAGTGACTTCTCACGTTAGTTAAAAAACTCATTCAATTTGCACATATTTTTACAAGACTTAAATGATACAATGAAAACTTATTTCTCACAGAAATTATGACCATTTAACCAGAAGAAGAATTCAATGAGTCAATAAATCAAGGAAACTATTAAAAAAGAAAAAAGAAGATATTTGAAACAAACAAATTCAAAGTGTTACAATGTTTAATGAGAAAACTTAAGGAAACAAAATAGTGGAGAATAACATTTCAAGGATCTTAATGAATGATGATAAAATTGATGTTGCCTATAGTGCTGGTGATGATAATCATAAATGATAAACTTATTGGGAATGAGAATTTTCTTGAACAACTGTCAAATATTTTTTCAAAAAAATATTGTTTTATTAAAATAACATTGTGTATTTACTTGATGGGTTACCAGCTTAGTTTCTAAGGTTGTTTTGGTATATTGTTTTTTTTAAGGTTTCATGAAAAGATACAACAAAAATGCAAACTACACAACTACCTGTCAGGTTTATTTAAACATAATTAATTGTGGTAATATTTACATAAAAAGTCATATGTGCAGATGTATAAACAAGACAAAACATAACTGATGTATGAGCAAATATAAACACTGACCAGTTAAACATACACAAGAATATATATACAAACACACGTAAAGGTATAAATCAAACCCCTTACCCCAGATTCAGGTAAAAAAATAGTTTAAAATTTATAGCTTTCTGAAAATATAGGTACCATCAAAACAATGAGGTAAAACAAAATCTTAACCATATTGTTAACATTATTAGTACTAGCATTAATAATAATAATATTAATAGCTGTAACCATTATTATCATCGTTACGAGCTGGGATTTGTTTCTTTTTCTAGACTTAAAATAAACAAACAGAATCAGGTCAAAATAGCTGATTTCTAAAGAAGTGAAAATATAAAAGAATAACAAAATACCATCAGCCGTAATAATAATAATAATTCATGTTGACACATCGGTCTCAATCGGTGCATTATTGATGGATATTTGTCTGTGTGCATAAACTTAGTTATAGGCATAAAAACAAACAAACTAAACAAATTAAAAAAAACCCACGGAACAAGAAGAAAAGGGAGAATCGAATCGAAGAGAATTTAAGTTGAGAGGTAGATGAAGCAGTAAAACAGTAAATGTTATAGTGTTGCAATTAGAATAGTGATTAAAATAAAAACAACAGACAGTTTAATTTTATTGAAGAGAAAAACTTTAATCAGAAAATATGAGATAATCCTTTTTGTTCCACTAAATCAAGAGAGAATAGTCATCGTGAATTTGTGTATTAGATTAGTTGATTGATTAAAGTATGACTGAATGTGAATTCAATTTTAAGAGAAGTTAATAAAGAAAATACACGTTTAGTAATGTTTGGTTTCAAATTGTTCGAATAACATTAACTTATGGTTAATGTCGTTTGTCAGTAATTATATTGAGATGGTTGAGTGTAAATGTGAAGAAACATGAGGTATACGTTTCATGCTATAGCAAAATCATCAATAATAATCTATTTGAAACTATAAATAAAGCGAGTAACCTAAAAACGCTTTAAGCTCTCTCTCAATATCTCAGATGGAAATATTACTGGCGGTATAGGGTTGTTTAAACTGTTGAATTTTACTGAAACCATGGTTCAATCACAGCCAGATAGCTATTGGAAGGCCGGGAGAGGGTAGAGCAACACTCCTACGATTAGCTTTGATTGCGAATAATTTTTGTCAAGCCCTTTCACTGACTAATTTAACAGACTGTTATTCGGACAGTAATAATTCGGCTATTTTTTGCATCATTATGATCTCTATCGTGTCTGTATAAATGTGTGCGCTTGATCACATGTGATGGCCTTCTCTCTCTAGCTTAAATGTTATCCGGTTAAATATCCCTCAATCAGTCATTCTCTCTTCCGCGTATATACGTGTTCGAATCCTTTTAATAGCCTTTGTCTTGCCTAGCTGCGCCTTGATTCGAACTGACTATAAGTTTGCTTCTGCGTTCGCTAGCACAAACATATTAGCCTCATTGCTGCAATTTGCTCGATATGCTTCTAACTTGGTTATCTGGGCTATCCACTAATAAAATGTAGTTGCCGTATCTTATTGCCTTCCGAATTCAAACACCGTTGGGATTTATATGATAACGGTTATTACGGTGATTGATGAACGAAGCTAAGTCACTACAAGGAGTCGTGGATGCGTAATGCAGAAGAGTCCTATGCTGAAACGAGATGGCCATCCAGTACTTCTAGGTTTTCAATGGTTTTCTAACATCGAGTCAAGATTTTAAAGAAATACTACTATTGGGTTATTTTAGGGGCTTCATATACCTTTTAATGAATTACAGTAATTGCAGCTAGAAATGTAATTGGTTAAACATCGATTGATTATCTTAACTCAAGTAGCTTGGGAGATAAGACTAGTGTGTTTTTACTCTCAGTAGGAAAAGAAATAAATTTCGTCTGGGAGAAGAGAGGGGATACATGCAGTTGACTGATGAATTGTGAAAAGAATACAACAAGAGATGTTTAATAAACCATATCTCTTCTTTATTACATTTTATCATACGATTGAAATTATACCTTAAGACTTTCAATTCCAGAAAATCCTTCGTCATTTTCGGGATATATCTAAAACTATTACATTGACTGTAAAAGATATTATATGGAACAAAGTAACATTTTTATAAATATATATTTAGCCATAGAAAAAAATTAGGCCACTGAAAACATATACATAATAGACATATAAGTACTTACACAAAAGTCTATGTCCAACTACATCCATATGAAATGGACACATAAACACAAAAAAGAACATCAACACACTCATGAATACACAATCTGTGTGCAAGATAATACAACAATATATACATACAGGCATATATATATATATACTAGCTGTCTCTATTGTTATAACACTGCCTGATTTTTGTTGTTTATTTTGTTACGAAAGTGAAAATGACGATGATTTATGAGAGTGGAAGTCTGTTAAAGATCGTAGATGTAAACTAAAGCCGAAACTAAGCGAATTACACACACACACTATATACAAATATGGGAGAAGTAGCATTTTGAATGACTAGGTGATGACTGAGAGCGGTTAAGGATGGTGGTAGTAATAATCTTTTTTGGTATAGTTTCTCCTATAAAAAAGTAGTAAGTACTTATAGAAAATTTCAGGTATCAAATAAGATATGTATGTATATATATGTAATTATTTATATCAACTCAACTGGTCAAAATAAGACACCAAAATACAAAGAAAAATAACCAAACGAGTAGCCAAATGTTCATAAATCAACTGTGTAAAGCGGAAACAAAAAGATGATATTGAAAAAGTATGAAAATTCGACATTCACGGATAAGAAATAAACGAAAACTCTTCACAAAGAAAATGAATATAAGTTTATTGATTTTTCACACGCATATACATACTATCTCTCTTGATTACTCTTGAAATTATCACAATGGTGTAAATGTGGAAATGCTAAACTTTCAAGAGTGTATGTGTGTGTGTGTGAGTGAGATAGCGACAGATAGGAACACAAAGAAAGAACTTTTAAAAAAAGCTTAAAACAAAAAAGAGAACAAGAAAATAAATGCTTACAACAGGGAATAAGAGAAGATTAACAGTGTAATATGAGACTTCGGAAATGTTACGATTACTGATAAACATTGAAGAAGAAAAAAGACAATTCATCAAATAATTATCTATACATATACAATATGAAAACGAATGAAAAATAGTTTGTAGAGGATGAAAAAAAGCTGGGAAACGAACAAACAAGCTAGAAAGTGATAAAGTATGTGTAAATGAATTAGTAAGCTCAAATAAGAATGAACCAGACGATCATTTATTTATCTTATAAAATTATCTGGTACTATAATCTTCGTCAGTCACTTTCTAATTACAATTTACATCATTAATCTTAAATGGAATTCAAACTTAAACTCTACCAGAATATAGAAGACCGACAAATCTTTATATATATATATATATATATATATATATATATATATATATATATATATATATATATATATATAAGTAACAAATGAGAGGAATATACAAAAATGATAAATTGAAATTATATGATTTATGTATTATTTGCAAAAATTGTGAATGTCAACTTGACTATAAGACAAAATGTACGATAATGTATTAAATAAAGTAGATTGTAAATAGTGGATTTGACTTATGAATAAAATCTTTTTCCCCATTCTGTGGATATATATTACTTATTTATAGGTAAATAATTAATATACTGAATATAAACGGGTTTATAGGTTTTTTAGATGAGTCTCAAATATCATCTATGAGAATAGTTTGATTTATTTTAATAATAACTTGCTACTACACAATATATTATCTATTCAATATGTATAATAACTAAGGTATTAAAATTGTCAATTATGAGGATAAATAAACAAATCATCACTCATATTATACTTAATTGTCTATTATCTTTAGTCAGTTTGAACTTGGTATTTTATAATCATTCAGTTTCTAATCAATCATATCGGGATAATGTGAAAACAATAGGAAGTAAAACAGTCAGTCGAATGAATTGCATGACTTTAAAGAACTTCCAAAGATATTTCGTTAGAATGAACATCAGTATATTACTGGCTAGAATATCAAAATGCGCATAAGTACGATAGGTATAAATATTTCAAAGAAAAATGTTTTATTGGAGTCTATAGGAAGTACTGATGCCAAACCAAAACGTGGCATCAGTGCTTGAAATCACTAACTTCTAGTCTGAGCCATGCTGGTAGATGCAGACTACTCGGTTGCGGTCCGCGTGACTATCGTAACCAATGGTTGGAGACTCTTGGTGACATGGCTAAGAATCGATCACAATGGCGTCGGTGTATATACTCTCTGTCTTCCTTATTGCAATCTTTCTTTTATATATTACCACCTCTGAATTAACTACTTTTATGAATTCGGTGTTCGTCTTGTTGTGTTAATGAGGTATGGCAACTTCGACCGATGCATATATACGCCTGTTCCTACGTTGTAGCTGACTGACTGACTGATATGTAGCATTAAACAGGCACTTTTGGTCAGAAGGAAAATGTACTTAAATAAATAAGAAACCAATATTTTAGAAAAGACTATTCAACTAGAAAATTTATTGTAGATTTTTTTATCTTCATTGAATGGCTTCCAAGATAGGAAGTGTTATCCTTTTGGAACAAAATGTTAAGTAACAGAACTATAGTGGTTTGCCTTCGTTAAATATATATATAGGTGTTCACAAACATATTTACCATAAACAGAGTACAAGCATTGTAACTAGTCAAAGTAGTGCGTTTAATGTTATTCAATTAATATAAACCTGAAAATGGACGGTAGATAAATAAAACGCTCCTATATTGGCATCATCACTCAAAATTTATGTTTTAGGTAATTAATAAATCAGATTTAACTATACAGTATGGTTAGCAATAAATTTTAAACAACAACCGTGGCTGAGCTAATAAATACTCAGTCAGTGCCATGAAAATTCTGATAAGACAGTGAACAACTAAACTTACCTCCAACAATAACACTGACAGTCATATTAATTTGAGCATTCTTATATGTTGACTTGGCTATACATACATAATCACCGGCATCATGTTTTTGTACATACTGGATAATTAAAGTGCCACCTTCTACTTGATTAGGTGGGAGAATTCTTTGCAAATCACTAGAATGTGGATCAACTTTACGAAACCATTCAACAGTTACTGTACCATAACCTCTAGCTTTACATGGTATTCGTCCTTGCATATTAATTTCAAGAAAATGTTCACGAAATTCACGTAAAAATTGCAGTTTAGCTATAATTAGAGTTTAAAAAAAGCAGATAAAAGGCTGGGTAACTACATTCATGAATGTGCTGTATGCTTCATGAAACAACTGTAAAGTGCATTTGGTTGGTTGTTTCTCGAAAAGAGTTATTATCACATTCTAAGAGTTTGTATTTCTAGATAAGTGTTGTATTTACGTATTTGAGCCAGTGCTTCAAGGTGATTAGCATATAGTATATTAATTAATAATCAGTTTCCAAACAGTCTAGACATAGTTCATTATTATCACTAGAAGAACAATTGAAGTGAACGAAGACAGTTTGAGTAACAAATTTGTTGTTTGACGCAAAATCACACAGTGGGTTAATAAAACATGAAAGTCATACATTAAATACACATTAAACACACACTACATGCACATCTTTGTGTTATCTTATATACACCCAATACTTCTTTCAATTCTGTTATTTCGATTGCTTTCAGATTTCCTTCTTGTTCTCTGCATTACAATCTTCTGCTGTCAGGCTTTACACTTCCGATTGGTGCTTCATACTACTTATATCTGTCAAAACCAGTAGCGTACACTACACAATTACTAAAACCTTTCATCTCATTTCGATTATCATATTAATTAACTTGAGCTAATGGTGTTATTTTTATAAATATCAAGTCATAGTATTTATAAATTTTGATGTCGAAAAAGGTGAGAATCAATCTCTTTAACAGTTTTTTTCAATAAACATAGTTCTTTATGCTTATTATTTGAAACAATGTTGAGGATTTACACAAAAACCATAGTTATTAGTTCGTGAACTTATGTGTCCTCGTTATTAATGTTTCTCAGGTACATCATCTTTAAAGTGGTGGATTCTATATGACAGACATAATACAGAGCGTGCTTATGATTTCGGTTTAACAAACTTTTTTATTCTCTAACGGTGAGCACAGGAAAGAGGTTTTTATAGCATCATTTATCATTGCATCACAATAGTAGAGAATTAATGATTCTTACAGGTTCACATAACATGGTTTTTGACAAGTTTATGTGTAGTAGTCTGGATGTCATAGTTCTTCACTCATTAAATTTGTTAAACTAATTTGAAAGTAATCTATTGTGAATGAGGAACTCCAATCAGACATTAAGCATATTAAGTTAATTAAGGCCGATAAGGTTGGAAAAAATTTATCAGGCAAACGAAAACATTTTTTTCAAAAAAACCTATTTTGCCTTTTTAAAATGAAAGTGTAGTGTTTAAGAGTGCACTCTGTTCTATTGATACTGTTCGGTTGCTCAAACCAAACTATATGAAGAAGGTGGAGAAGATTTGTAGCTCAGGTGGATGATTTTGGTGGAGTTCTGTTCTCTGAGCTGGATGGTTTGGTCGTGGAGCTTTCATCGTTCTTCTGAACGACATCATCAGCACAAACTTCAGATAGAAGTGAAGTGTTTGAATTTCTCCATATGTGTCTCAAAGCTTGTTCTGTGCACCTCGACGTTGATTGGTTCTTATCATGCATGATATCTCTTCACTTATATCAATACACGTGGACAACTGCGGACACTCATTCGATTGGAAAAATGTGGAAATCTTAGACAGAGGAAACTCCAAAAACACCAGATAATTTTTAGAAGCCTGGCACTCAGGTCAATTAGCAATCAACAAACATATTGAAATCAATCCAATTTATCAACCAATCAGAAAAATCATGCACAAACATAAGAACAAAAATCAAAACAATGGGAGACACAACCAAAACAATGAAGTAAACAACGACAAATTTAAGGTCAATAAGAACCAATCAACGTCGAGGTGCACAGAACAAGCTTTGAGACACATATGGAGAAATTCAAACACTTCACTTCTATCTGAAGTTTGTGCTGATGATGTCGTTCAGAAGAACGATGAAAGCTCCACGACCAAACCATCCAGCTCAGAGAACAGAACTCCACCAATATATGAAGAAGGGTTTGAACCTATAATTTAGTGACTACAAGTTGATCGTTTTAAAGCTTGAGTTGCTGCTTCAATATAAATTGTACCAAGCTTCTTTCAAATAAATAGTTTTTACCAAAATTAGGTTGAATTTGAGTAAACTTGTTTCAAAAAGCATTCTTATACGAAAATCAAATTTATGCAGACATCACGTTAAGACCTGAAATGTTACGTTATTCAAGAAAAGCGAAACATTGTATGTAAAAACGAAATCCTACTCATATGATGACTAAATGTTTTCGATATACTGATTTTCAAGCATTTTACGTACTACTTACAAGAAAACTGTCTATCAAAATGTAATATTTTGAATAACTGAAAGAGATCTATGACTTAAATCCCTTTTAAACATCAAACCTAGTTACTTCATTCAAAATAAAATGGTTGATAAGATCTCACTCACCTTTAACAATTAAGGTTTGTTCACGACCAGACCATCTTTCCTTATATCCATCAGTTTGAACGAAACATTGGTATTGACCCTGATCTTCGGGTTTCAATTCAGGAAATCGTAAAGTTTCACCATTATTCTCTAAAGCCATAAGCTTTAAACAAATATATTTATTAGTTAATGTTAGAGAAGAATTAGTTTTTTGATAAAAGTAAACTGATTAGCTAATTATGCACTTAAATCAACAACACTACTTATTAAATAATGAAACCGGGCGATAACTAAAACATGACTTTCAGCCTTTATGTTGTAGGTCCAAACCTCCTTACCCCATTTACTCAATATGGTAAGATGGTATCATTCACCATCAGACAACTACATAAACAAATTATGATAATAGAAAATGTTAAATATCTGTGTGTTATGAGGTATATATTTACGCATTATATTGTGAAATATGCCGGTAAATATAGACTGTTAAGTTATATAATTATAAACTTACACTATTGGCGTATTTTTCTAAAACACGTTGATCTTTTTCCCAATAGACAATACTTCCTGGAATTGAACGCTTTTTAATACCACAATCTAATGTAATGGAACTGTCTTCATCTAAAGCATGTTCTTCATGAGTCAATGGTTGGTAGAATTCAGGTGGAACTAAAATCAAGATTTTTAAAAATTTTATTAAATGTGATTAATCGAATTCTTAGTTAGATTTATGGATACAGAAAGAGTAGATTAGGGGATTTTTTAGAAAGTATTTAAAAGATGAAATTAGAGGAAAACAATTTTCAAAGTGAATACTTTCACTTTTAGATAAATAACTATTAAGTACGATCTCTTAACAACACTAAACTGACAAGTGGACTTTGATTTAATGAACGTTCAGTGGAATTACCAAACAGAGCAATAGAACTAGTACAAATGTGTGTCTATGGTCGAAAGTAATATTTATTAAATGAAGAATAAAACAAAAATGCTAGTCGGTTGAATTGTAAGCTAACAACCACGTCGGGTATGAGACAATAGATGGTCGAGGAATATCGTAAGTTGATTGAAGCTAGACATACACACTACTGGATTCCGGTTCGGTGGTCTAGAGATTAAGGGTTTGCATGCAAGACCGAAGGTTATGTGTTCGGTCTACAGATGCAAAGCCGTAGATGCTTACTGTTGAGTTCCATACTAGAACGAAACAGCTGTTCAGCGCCTTCTAGTTTTCAAGGGTTATTTAACCAAGATCAGTTGGTGGTACAAAATATGGAATACAATTAGAAATTGTCAAGTTTATTTAGCCATAATCATATGAACAGGTGATTAACTTTTGAATAACTAACATTATCAAGTTAGTATAACAGGTTTAAATATTAACAGTTTTTACATTCTTCCTTGTTAGTCATTAAAACAAATTACAACAAAATTATGCCCTTAATGTTATTTTGTTTCCCGACACATTTAGGCGTTAAATTACTTTCTTTTTTACTGAATTGTAATTTTAATGATCAACACGATCACCGTATAGTAAAACAAGCTAAACAGATGAAAGTGTATAAAAGTATGTCTGTTTAAAACGGTTTAAAATTGTTCATTTGTTAAACAAGTTAGAATAACCTTGAAGGAAATCTAAAATAAGTAAAAACAAACTACTACACAAGATCACAGATTGTATTAGAATGATTTTTTTAAAAAATGAAACTTTTGGTATAAGCATCTGACGAAAATTATGAAATTCATGTTTCACATTCATCAATACGTATAAAGAATGATTCATTTACACACCTTGAGAAAATACTACTACCATTCTGAAAATTGTATCTGTATTTTCTGGTAACATAACTACAGACTCTGATACATAATTATTACAGTTTCAAAATATTTATTCAAGATCGCATAATGAAGACGAGTTAACCTGTAGGTATTTTCATTATTCATGTTTTCTCTATTTATCATGGAAAAAATCTGCATCTAATACCTCGACTAAGATACACAACTATTGTAGTTTAAAACCAAATATTTATCACAACTATAAGCAAAGACGGATAGTGGAAGTCAGGACATGCGTTTCGTCCTATTCGGGACTCTTCAGCTGGATGTACCTGCACCTCAGAGTTGTTCATTCTGGGACTTGAACCCAGTACCGTTCGCTTCAAACGGTATCGCGTTATCCACTTAGACACCTGCCTGAGATGCAGGTACATCCGGCTGACGAGTCCCAAACAGGACGAGAGGCATGTCCTGGATTCCACTGCTGGCCACTATATATTTTTGATTATAAAGCTTGTGACTTTAAGCAATATCGAGACAATCCGCACAGGATGCACATATACCAACAAGAGACTGATCAATTGTAGTCTTAAATAACAATAGGAAGATGCAAGTAAAAAACACCAATTGAATGTATCATAACTGATGAAATTCACGAAGTTTCATTGATATAAACACTTGTCATTTTTATGATATATTAACTTCAGCATGTTTTTGTGCTTTATGTTGTCATTATCAGGTATGGTAGTAAATCTGTGATAACTAATATATAACGAATGTGTTTTAGGCTCAATGAGATGCCTTAATTCTCTATCAGTCATAAATATTAAAATATGAGTGAAATGAAAGAGAACTGAAAGGTAACGGCAATAGATGACAAATTATTATTACAGAGATATATAAGCTTACAATAAAAAATATGAAGGATAATTGAAATGAACAGAGAAATTGATATCTTCATACTCTACATTTTCATTGCTCACTGATTCAACATAGTTTTCATTTTCCTAAATTATGCCATTCCACGAACAAACTTAACATTGTTATCAACATGAAAATTTCAACTACTTCTTTCTTAAATTTGCATTATTTAAATCTTGATGAATGTGATAATTTGTTGACTTCACTTGAACTTGTGAAAAGTATTTCCACGTGTACTGTATCATATTTACACAACCCACATTACACATTATATTACATCAGAAGGGGTTTATGGAGATTTCAGAAATTTCACAGATTGAAATCATGAGTCAATTGAAGCTAGACTACCATGGAAAACCTGAAATCACTGGACGGCCGTTTCGTCCTAGTATGGGACTCCTCAGCAGTGAGCATTCACGATCCCACACCCAGTGAGATTCGAACCCAGGACCCATCAGCCTCGCGCCAAGTGCTTAGCCAACGAAACGGCCGTCCAGTGCTTCCAGGTTTTCCATGGTGGTCTAGCTTCAAGTGACTCATGATTTCAATCATTATATTACAATTTAATTTTATTCATTAGAAACAAATATAAGAACAAATAATATTTAACAATACTACTTAAAGATAAGCTATACATTCATGATCAATGTATTCCTATGTGAAATAGTAAAATACATGTGACAAAAATATAATTTCCAAAAACACTTAATACATTCAATTTCTCTTATTTAAGACAAGAATTTCACCATATCGATTATGTCACAATACAAAAAGTGTTTAGCGCGAAAAAAATATATAAATGATGTTTAGTCATATAGTACAACTGTTGAATTGTTTAGTTAATACAATTGAATTGAGTTTATTTCCAGATTTCAATTTGTTATTTGAAACTTCTTAACTAACTTGGTCAACTTAACGAATAATAATGTTGTGTCAATCTAGCTATTCTGAAAAGTATTGATATTTATTAGTACTCATTTAGAAATGAGAAATTTCAACAGTAAGATAAACAATAAGGATAATTTCATACACATAGTTCCCTTTATTATTACGTCATTATTGCAACTCTTTCTGAAATATAAATTACATCATACATAACTGATTGATTTCAATTCATATTTTCTTTATTACCATTAATCAATTTTCATGAGTTCTAATTACTATTTCAATGTTCTGGAACTTTCCCTCTCAAACTTTATTTATTTATTCGAATCAAACATTTTATGAGCTCATTAACTCTATCTGAATATTCGCTACATCATCATACACATGTATTGATCCTTAATCACACTCTTATATATAAATATGTCAATATCTGTAATAATTTGAATTTTCAAATAATTTAGGTTGTAAGCAGCTGATGAGAACCTAACGAAATAAAATGAATTCATATAATTCTGCACCAATTTTTGTTCTTGCTCTCTTTAAAATAAGGATAATCGTTGATTCTCTAGATTGTTATTATGGGGTCACTGAACGTCTGTTTATATGTCAAATAGGAATACATTTATCTATGATAGAAAAATGGCTGAAATAAAAAAAAGTTTACATACAACAACAAAGTTAAATGACATGTGACAGTTAATAGAATATTCCGGAATTAGACTCCATGCTGGTTAACATTTATTAGTAAAAGTGTATATATAATTTCAAGGGAATTGAAATGCTGTATGAGATTCGAATGCATATCATTTACTCACTTTCACAATCTGAATTCTTACCAATAAACTATTAGAACCGCAACTCTGTGACTAACAATATTTAATTATAACTAATACATATTGATTCATATAAGATTTTTAGTGGATATTATAGTAATTTCAATTAGCACCATGGAAAACCTGGAAGCACTGGATGGTCATTTCGACTTAATGTGTAATATCTATTGAACAAATACTGTAGTGAACGAGAGCCCGAGTAAGGACAATCGAATGTATTTGAACATAAAATTACAGCACATCGTAGTAAAATCTGAAAACATCCATTAATTATTTAATTTGCAAAATATCAATCAATGGTCTCAAATTTAACTATTCCTGCATTTCCATACCAATCGGTTTCTGTTCCTGTTTTTTTTCCTTTCTTGATCTTCTTAATCTTTTGCTATTAGACATAATATTCCTGACTCGTGTTATATACTACTTATATCGATATAATTAGCACACACCATAATACTAACTAGTAGAATTAAGTAACTTATTCCATTAGTAATAATAAAAATTATCATAAAATACCTAGTTATAATTCGATCAATAAATTGTTACCAAACTTTATATAAATCAATTTTATTCACTTCTAACTATTATCCTATTTGACTAATAGATGACAACTGATATTGAATACCGGAAAAAAAAGTTGAATAATAGAATAAATGAAAATAAATAAATAAATTTTTCTAAGAAGAAAAAAGCACCCCCTTAAGGAATACATAATTCATTTAGTTAACAAGATCAAAGTATATTCCAAATCTATAAAATTTATATTTAAAATATATTTAAATAATTTATGCGTTTTTCTTTTTTCTCTTTTCTTTTCTCTTTTTTTTTTCCTTGTTGAAAATGTTTTTTTAGGTGAGAATAAACGAAATGAAAAGTTGTCAGAATTCAATTTTCATTAAACAATGGATAATATTAAGTTATATGGACTGGAGAATGCATACATAATGAATGTGTACATCTTAATGAATGAAAGTTCAATAATATTGAATCTTTATCATATATATTATAAAAACAATAATTAATTATTAAATAAAGAATAATGTAACTTATAAATAATTTACTTACAATTCACTAAAATATCAAATACAATAGATGCACGACCAGCGGTATTCGTTAAAATCATTTCATATGATCCAGAATCTAATTCAGTAACAGAATGAATTACTAAATGACGTCCACGTAAAGCATAAATTCTAGGTTTTGGACCATTTAACTTTGATTCATCTATCATTGAAGATGATGAAATTGGAGGCCAAATAGGAATTGATTGATGCTCATCTTTTTTATGCCATCTATAAGTAATAAAAGTAGGTTAATCATTGGTAATCGTCATGAAAATAAAAAAAACAAACGAATAGGCCTATTTTTAGATGTACACCCGCTTTTACAGTTACGGTTTATTTCAACCACAATATTATTTTGTTGTTGATTTCATTGTTGTTCTGATGTGAATGGGTTACTGATGCTCCTGTGATTTATTGGAAAATAATAAATCTCAATGAATAAAATTTGACGAATTAACATAATAAAATATACAATTTGAACATTCCTACTGTTCTTTTGACGGTTTTAAAAAAATGTGTTGGTTTAACTTTTTTTTTAATATACATTCTTCTGAGTTTATGAGAAGCTTTTATTCAGTGACAATGAATAACATAGATTACTAAATAAATGTTTCGTAAACACCACAACCATATAGTTTTATCAATAATCTAATCCCTTAAATTACTGTTCATCTTAATTCCTTTGTTTTAATGAAAATAAAAGCATTAGGCTTAGATTATGGTTACTATTTGTGAACCTTCAAACTTAGAAATCAAGTGAACATGGATACAGCATAAATTATATAAATGATTAATGAATAAAACTTTATGTTATTATCTTTAATACAACTACAATTGCAATAATCATTATCACAAAATTGTAAACCATTTTTCATTATTTCAACAACAACAAGAACAAAAAATCAGATAAACATAATGTTACATTTATGTAACGAATATCACAATGAAACATTGAAATTACGATTATATTTGTTAAATGATCCTGATTATTAATTATAATCTAAGGGTAATTCATTAAGCATTGAATATTCGCTTATTATTTGTGTGTAAATGTGTTTGTATTTGCAAATGTATATGAGTATATGTGCATATACATATGTGTGTGTGTGTGCAAGTGCACACTTTTTTTTTCTAATATTCATCTTGAATATCGAGTAAATACTTGATTGGTTTTATTGTGGGCAGTTCAGAAAAAAAAATTACAAAATTACCAGTTGAAATGTAACAGAATGTAAGTGAAAGAATTAATTAATTATTCTAAATAAAGAAGTTAATTTATCTGTGATACATGATCGTTAAATAAATTGATAAATACACATAATGTACATAAGTATACATGTCTGAGTGATTCAACTAAACTGTAGTGAAAAAAAACAAACAATATAAATTGTTACAATACTACTTGATCAAGAGAATACTGTGTCAGCCATCGCTTTGTTGCTGTTGTTCTGTTGTTTGTGCTTTTTTAAACAAACAATCTTGATAATTGAAACATTGCACTGGATTACATATTTGTAATATATAATAATCATAGTCATCATAGAAAATAAATGATAAAGGTGTATCGTATATATTTGTAACATATTTGAAACAATTATTCATTTAATACAATCATGTATAAGTTTGTTTCAGTCAAACTGAATGTGAATAATCGAAAAATTTTGGTTACATGAATAAATGTATGAACCAGTTAGAAAATATGTTGACAATAAGGAATTGGAAACAAGAGATGGATCTTATGTTACAATTTATTATATACATAAACTAGACAGCTGGTTATATATTTAAGTTAAATTATATTACTATAAAGAATTTCAGTGTATGAATCTAATCTAACTTTAAAAAATTAATATTATTAAGCGATGAAATTTCAAGGTTTTTAGTATGTTTAAAGTTGATTTCTCCAGGAACTAATGGTCATTGGAAATTGTAATGCATCAGATAACTGTTTTATTCTAAATTCGATACTTTTTAGTTGCGTAGACAAACAACCTGAAAACTATTAGTTTATGTCGTATTCTGAACGATTTAATCGAACCATTAGGTTGAAATTCTGTAGTTCACATTTTTGAATGTTAGTCAATGTGTGGTGTAACATGATTCTTATTCAATGACATTAATAGGAGTATTTGTCTCACTTTCAAATTGGTCATCTCGAGATCACGGTATCTCAACAACATCCCATAAATGTAGTTTTCAACAATATTAAAATACATAACAAACGTAAATATACAAAATGTAGAGCGGAATAATTTATTATTCACTTATATAGGATACTCCAGTAACAATTTGTTCTTCATAGGTTTTGCGTTATAGTATATGATATAGACGGTAGAAATTAGTGTGTTGAAGATCAGATTGAGTGACTATGATTATAGGGAACTGTTTGAATTTCTAGATCATAACTTTTACAAATGTGCATTTATTTCTATAAAGTATTATTTCAGACTCGTCTTCATAAACTATTTATGTCTATTAGCCTTTCTGTAAAATGTTCACAACCTATCAAAAATTTAATAGCTGAATAACTCGAGAACTAACAGATCAGTTCTAATATTTTCCCCCTCTTTCCTTCGAATAAACGAGTAGAGATTACCAAAGAATCCATACAACAAGTTTATTAAGTGACAAAAAGAGAAGTCATAGGAGTATAATTGATTAGAGGTATTTAAGAATGAATGTAAGTGGTAGATTATCACTGATGGAAAAGATTTCATACATATTTTCTGAATAACCTCAGGTTAAGCACTTACATAACTTTGTTCTTGTGGATTCTTTACTACAATTGATCACATGCTATTGGATAAAGATTCTAGTAATATTTCTATTATTATAAATATTATAAATTGATCTATTTTAGCCATCTAAAATATGAACTTAAAATGAGATGAACACACTGATTATCAAAACTGCGACAAAAGAAATTCTGAACTATGTGTGTACAAATATATCTGTACTATAAGTTTACTTTATGACGTAACCATGGTTGAGATTGTTCAAGAGATTCAGGCATCTGATTTAATAATGTCACTCTACTCAACTAATAATCAGATATTTCATTTATCTAATAAATTTGTTATTAGAACATAAAAAGCATATTTCAATCAAAATGATAAAAGAACAATCAGCCAACATTTAAAAGCACTGCATCACAATACATCAAATCTACTGAAACAATTGCTATTTGTAAATAAAATCTAACAAGTTGATTATGTGTTTATCTATTGACGCTTAAGTTGGATGATAACAATCATTGATTTGATGTATTTTCTACTGTGTTTCTTTGTTATATAAGTAAATAACACACTGCTCTAATCAAGACAATAGCTATATAAATGTTCCTTTATTTTAAAAAAATACAAACACTTGCTTACATAATTTTTGGTGTTGGATTTGAGATCTGATCGGTAACAAATGAGTTAGATGGTGATTCATCAGAATAATAACGTAGATTTGCATCTTCATTGATTCGAACAATATATGGTTGATTCTTTTTTAGACGAGGCGAAAAATTCGATCGCTTTGGGTAATAAAGAGCTAATAAATATAAAGAATAAAATGAATTAAAAAAATTTTTATTACGTATTATTTGCAAGTAGATAGAATTTGATAAGAATAACATGGTAAGAGAAGATTACAGTCTTGTTTTATATTTTCCATATTCTAATTTGTTCCATTCAATTGAATCAAGTTTAAATGATAATTTAATCTTAAAAATACATATTCTCTTTATTTGTCATCACTAGTCCCTTTGTTAAAGAATACTAAAAGTGTAGTGAACGAGAGCATACGTAGGGATAATTGAATGTATGTGAATACAAAATTACAGAACACTAGTAAAATCTGAGAACCATACAGTAAATACTTCATTTGTGAAATGTCAATTAATCGTCCCAGACTACATTGTTCTTTCGTTTCCACACTAATCATTTTTTGTTCTCGTTCACTTTTATTTGACTTTTTTAGCGTTTTTTCTCCAGGCATTTCACTTTCGATTGATGATACATACTACTCATATCAATCGACATCAGTAGCATGCACCACAAAAAGTATTGAGTTAAGCCTGAATGTAGGAGTTCAAAATCAACTTATTCCAATGGTTGAGATCATGAGTCAATTGAAGCTAGACCACTATGGAAAACCTGAAAGCACTGGATGGCCATTTCGTCCTCTTTTGAGACTGGACGGCATTAGTGGATGTGTCGCTGAATTTCGTGGATTGGTTGAAGTTAGACACTAATATCGTTGGATGCCGGCTCAATGGTCTAGTGGTTAAGCGCTCGCGCGCGAGACTGATAGGTCCTGTGTTGGAATCTCGTGAGGTGAGGTCGTGGATGCGCATTACTGAGGAGTCCCATAAAAGAACGAAAAGGCCGTCTAGTTCTTCCAGGTTTTTCCATGGTGGTCTAGCTTCAATTGATTCATGATTTCAACCATTGAAATTACTATAACATCTACAAAACCCTTCTGATAATCTTATTGTCAAACTAATTAATATATATAATAAAGGAACTAATCACTTTCTCAATTAAAAAAAATCTACCTACATATATTTAACCAAGTAAGTAACCAGATAATATCGGTTCCATTTATAATTTAAATCTAGTAACCATGTTAATAGTGAATTATTACGTAACATTTAAAGCATAAAATCAATAGTTGTAAATTATCAATACCATTAAATGAATCAAAATTGAAATTAAAAAAATGTTTAACTAAAAATTATTTCACGTTCAATCAATTCTGCTTATGGATATAAGAAGATGACACGACAAAAATGAGTTTTTCTTATGAAAATAATGAGACAAAAACCTAATAGAAGAAGAAACACAAATTTTATAGTTTAATAAAACTAAAAATCGATTATTATCATGATTATTATGGTAGAATCCTACTTATTTCTTCATGTACAAAAACAAAGCAAAAATATGGAATATTACAACAGAATCGAACATTATAAGCAAAGATAGATGGTTGGTGGCTGGCAGTGGAACTTAGGATACATGCTTCGTCCAATTTAAGACTCGTCAGCTTGACATAAATTGTTTATTTTAGGTTTAGTTTGATTCTATATCTCCTTCCATTTAACACTGTTGTTATTTTAAATTTTAGCGTTATGGAATTTTATTTAATGGAATTTCACAGTTGTATTTGGTTAGGAGATAAAGAAATAGTTTGACTATTGCCTAATGATCGTGATAAACATTCGAGTATTAATTGTAAATGTTACATGAAATGCATAGGCGGATTAAAATGGAGTTTTTGTAATAATTAAACCTAATAAAGTATGACATAGAATATGAAAACAGGCAAATTTGACCAAAGAAGTCATTTTCGAATAGTAATATTTCTGTCCAATTGTATTATAAAATTAGGTATGCAAACTATGTGTACATTTTTAATCATGAAAATGGTACGCATAAAATAAATAAATATTAAGGATTACGAAACCTTACAAAGCTAAGTATTGTTGCTTATGACTGCTTACATTCCAATAGAATTATGAAATTACTTTTCTATATAAAATACAATATACAATTAATTTCCTGCTGACTGTCTTTTTCTTCCTTCTTACATAAAATATGTAATATTGAACGTTGTAAATCTTAGCATCGAAAGTTCAATAACCGATCAAATCATATATATTTGTATATAGCAAAATATATGAAGTTTTAATGTGATAAACAGTGAAGAGTATATCACAGCTTGGACCACAAAATAAGGGCTATATATATTTCATTCTAAATAGAAACTTCAATATTAGCTTACATTCTAATCAAGATATTTTTGGATATGTTGTTATTGGAGTTTTATGCTGCATTGACATCTTGGTTACATGTTAAAGCAAATAAAATTCAATTATTTTATGCATATCATTTATCATTTTTAAGAAAATGTTGAAATTCTTCAGTTTATAAATCACGATTTACTAGTTTCTCTGGACTGGTAGAAATTTCACCTAAATGGTATCAAATATTCCATTGCTTAGAATGTATATTATAAGAAGATCGATAATTCTTCTAGTTTGCTGTCGAAAATTTTAAATCGGAGTTAACCAACAGAAAATCATGAATCTAGGATTTCGCGTTAGTTGGCACTGTGGTAAAACTTATCCTTAATTCTTAAAAACTTGATAAGATCCAAACCAGAATGGAACCATGTTCCACAATGATAGACACGTTACCACTAAGCTATTTGGGTATCAGCTTATTTGCTATAGAAACTAGATTTTCATAAACTCATATGATCGTTTACTTATAACGAGTGTCATATTGTATAGTCATAAAAGAATCATATACATATATAGTGGATAATCAAAATGTTACTATTTATTAATGCTAGCGAAATCAAAAGGAATTTCGATCAGCCACAGAATAACAATTTATTGATCCAAGCTCGACTATACATAACGATTAATCTTTTGAGACTACAACACATAAATGTTTTCGAAGTGAAGTTTCCACTATTTTCAGAAAATATAAAATATCGTTACAATTACATAACAAGCGTTTTTTAGTAATAACGAACTATTAATAATATGATGTCACTAAAAGGAAAGACTACGAAAGAATCTACCAAAGTTAATACACATACATAAAATATGTGCCGTTTAAGGATTAACTAGGAATAAACGAAAATGTTAAACTAAATTTTTTTTTAAATATCTTGCCTAGAAACGCGCAAAAGTAGACATCACTGATGTAAACTTATAAGATATAACTAATACAGACACTTTCACTTACAGAGTTTAATCTGTTCAAGTTATAAGCGAGTAAATTTGTTGTTAAGAACATTGTGATCAGCGTAGTGAAAATCCAATATCAACTATTTACGTAGATGTGGTACAATTAGTATATTGTATATCTTGATAAAAACTTTTAAAATATCAGATTATAGCCAGATTTCAGGCACTGAACTTTAGAATACTTGTTCTTTGTTTAAATACTAGATTATGTTTTAAAACGGTTACCCAAATCGAATGGAGACAAGATCAATTTCCTTCATTTTGTTTTATATTTGAAAAATAAGTAAAACTTAGTTTATTTTCTACAATAACTACAAATGACACTGGTAACTACTTCCTCTCAGTAATATAAATGTTCACAATTTCATCCAAAAAACAAACGAATATAGAATGAAATTGTCGATCGAATCTTAATGACCATTTTCAAAAAAAAGATGGTGAGGTATGATATTAGTATGCTGGACTGGAATCCATTTCATTGCATCTGTATTAAGGGCTAATTCAGTAAATGCAAGTTTTGATTCTCATTTATTTAGTCATATGAAAAGTCTTCTGTTTTAATTACGACAGCAATAACTACTGTCATTACTTTCAGTCGCAATGCACATAATCTTTTAGGCACAGAAATTCATTTATGAGTTGCTCAATATCAACGATACTAAGAATGCTTTTGAGACATTAACTCATGTGAAAAGAGATATGATCTGAAAATTTTATTATAGATGAATTAATGGTGTACAATACATTGTAGTTGAAAATAGCTTTCAATGTATAGATTTACAATTTAAATTACTGAATCAAGATACGTAGATAATTATTCACGAATGATTGAGAGTCCTCTGAATATTTAGTTACAATTTGATGATGTACTGCTTTATAGAAGACAAACAACAAAATAGAAAGCATACTGTGGTATTTTCACTACGCTCAACTGCAATTCTAAGAGTGGAAATAAATGTTTGTTGACAAGCTATATTCAAATGCATAGTGAATTCGAATGAAACCATTTACATGAGTTAATGTTTTATAATTTAACGATTTCAAGCCTTAAGAAATTGTTTTAGTATAAGTGTGTAGTGAAATGGTAAAGACAGTGTACTCAGATCATTGTAAGCTGCTTATCGAGTGTTCAATTGAACCACAAGATTAGCATTGACCAGTCATTTTCTATTATCTCATAAGACGTAAAACATTCAGCACATACTACTAATAATACTACTACTTTAATTTAACTGACATGATCGTGTTAAGTATCAATAGCCAAGTGTAGTTCAGTTTACTAATTTCTCAATGTTGTCTAAATGATTTCTAATAATTTTCTAGTTGATGTCAATTCGTGAGAAAAATTATCTTGAAAATGTAAATCTACTTTTCATTCTACTGAACTTTCTCCGTATAATTATCGTTCTTTTTGTATAATAAGAATACAATTAATTGCCTTTGGCGAAAACCGAACTGACGTTCTGCTATCTAAATTGAATTAAAACTAATTTACAATTTTACAGAAAAGAGAATTTAAAGCCAACATTCAAAAATTATTTGTCTAACTTTTAGTTCTCAAATCAATACTGTTTACCTATATAAGTAATTACGAATGACTTGTAACTTCTGTAAGTAATTTTCAAGTTGAGTATCGATGAAAACTAGAAAGCACAGGACAAATAACGTTTTCATACTTAAGACTACATAACTGGTGTCATTCCAATAAATTATATGAAATCTTAACAAATCTCAGTTTACTTATCAATCTACTGTAAATAATTACTATCCTTCACCATCAAATCTCTCCTTA